GTGCTGAGTTACTACCTCTCTCGTCTTTCTCCATGTGTCTTAACTCTCTCGTCTTTCTCCATGTGTCTTAACAAGTGTGCTGAGTTACCATCTCTCTCGTCTTTCTCCGTGTGTCTTAACTCTCTCGTCTTTCTCCATGTGTCTTAACAAGTGTGCTGATATCTCTCTCGTCTTTCTCCATGTGTCTTAACAAGTGTGCTGATATCTCTCTCGTCTTTCTCCATGTGTCTTAACAAGTGTGCTGAGTTACCATCTCTCTCGTCTTTCTCCATGTGTCTTAACAAGTGTGCTGATATCTCTCTCGTCTTTCTCCATGTGTCTTAACAAGTGTGCTGAGTTACCATCTTTCTCGTCTTTCTCCGTGTGTCTTAACAAGTGTGCTGAGTTACCATCTTTCTCGTCTTTCTCCGTGTGTCTTAACAAGTGTGCTGAGTTACCATCTTTCTCGTCTTTCTCCGTGTGTCTTAACAAGTGTGCTGAGTTACCATCTTTCTCGTCTTTCTCCGTGTGTCTTAACAAGTGTTCTGAGTTACCATCTCTCTCGTCTTTCTCCATGTGTCTTAACAAGTGTGCTGAGTTACCATCTTTCTCGTCTTTCTCCGTGTGTCTTAACAAGTGTGCTGAGTTACCATCTCTCTCGTCTTTCTCCATGTGTCTTAACTCTCTCGTCTTTCTCCATGTGTCTTAACAAGTGTGCTGAGTTACCATCTCTCTCGTCTTTCTCCATGTGTCTTAACAAGTGTGCTGATATCTCTCTCGTCTTTCTCCATGTGTCTTAACAAGTGTGCTGAGTTACCATCTCTCTGGTCTTTCTCCATGTGTCTTAACAAGTGTTCTGAATTACCAACTCTCTCGTCTTTCTCCGTGTGTCTTAACAAGTGTTCTGAGTTACCATCTCTCTCGTCTTTCTCCATGTGTCTTAACAAGTGTGCTTAGATCTCTCTCGTCTTTCTGCATGTGTCTTAACAAGTGTGCTTAGATCTCTCTCGTCTTTCTCCATGTGTCTTAACAAGTGTTCTGAGTTACCATCTCTCTCGTCTTTCTCCATGTGTCTTAACAAGTGTGCTTAGATCTCTCTCGTCTTTCTCCATGTGTCTTAACAAGTGTGCTTAGATCTCTCTCGTCTTTCTCCATGTGTCTTAACAAGTGTGCTGAGTTACCATCTCTCGTCTTTCTCCATGTGTCTTAACAAGTGTGCTTAGATCTCTCTCGTCTTTCTCCATGTGTCTTAACAAGTGTGCTTAGATCTCTCTCGTCTTTCTCCATGTGTCTTAACAAGTGTGCTTAGATCTCTCTCGTCTTTCTCCATGTGTCTTAACAAGTGTGCTTAGATCTCTCTCGTCTTTTTCCGTGTGTCTTAACAAGCCACTTCAAATACACTGAAGCAGTTATTATTGGTCTAGTGGACTTCACCAAAAACTGAAACAGTTGAACTTTTTGTAGTCTACTAAGATGATAAGATCTAAAGGGGTGTTAGGGTCATTTGGGAGTTAGGGTCATTTGGGAGTTAGGGTAGATTAGTTAGGTGAATTAACTCCGGGGTTAGCAAGAAGTAACGTGTAGATATCCACACATCTATTATAAAGTGCTCCGTGGTGTGAGGGGTGGCTAATACATTTCAGTGAAATATTTTATCGCACCCCCCCCCCCCCCCCCACACACATTTTTTTTACAACAAACACTCAATATGTGCTCTCACATGTCCCAAAATGATGATGGAGAAAAGACTAACTAGTACTGCAGCTGTATTAGATGGGTAGCTAGGTATATTCTTGTTAGCGTGATTTACGTGGGTAGCTAGGTTAATTCTTGCTGGCGTTATTTACGTGGGTAGCTAGGTCTATTCTTGCTGGCGTTATTTACGTGGGTAGCTAGGTCTATTCTTGTTAGCGTGATTTACGTGGGTAGCTAGGTCTATTCTTGCTGGCGTTATTTACGTGGGTAGCTAGGTCTATTCTTGCTGGCGTTATTTACGTGGGTAGCTAGGTCTATTCTTGCTGGCGTTATTTACGTGGGTAGCTAGGTCTATTCTTGTTAGCGTGATTTACGTGGGTAGCTAGGTTAATTCTTGCTGGCGTTATTTACGTGGGTAGCTAGGTCTATTGTTACTGGCGTTATTTACGAGGGTAGCTAGGTCTATTGTTACTGGCGTTATTTACGTGGGTAGCTAGGTCTATTCTTGCTGGCGTTATTTACGTGGGTAGCTAGGTCTATTCTTGCTGGCGTTATTTACGTGGGTAGCTAGGTCTATTCTTGTTAGCGTGATTTACGTGGGTAGCTAGGTTAATTCTTGCTGGCGTTATTTACGTGGGTAGCTAGGTCTATTGTTACTGGCGTTATTTACGAGGGTAGCTAGGTCTATTCTTGCTGGCGTTATTTACGAGGGTAGCTAGGTCTATTCTTGCTGGCGTTATTTACGTGGGTAGCTAGGTCTATTTTTGCTGGCGTTATTTACGTGGGTAGCTAGGTCTATTCTTGCTAGCGTTATTTACGTGGGTAGCTAGGTTAATTCTTGCTAGTGTTATTTACGTGGGTAGCTAGGTTAATTCTTGCTGGCGTTATTTACGTGGGTAGCTAGGTCTATTCTTACTGGCGTTATTTAGGTGAGTAGCTAGATCTATTCTTTCTAACGTTATTTACGTGGGTAGCTAGGTCTATTCTTACTGGCGTTATTTACGTGGGTAGCTAGGTTAATTCTTGCTGGCGTTATTTACGTGGGTAGCTAGGTCTATTCTTGCTAGCGTTATTTACGTGGGTAGCTAGGTCTATTGTTACTGGCGTTATTTACGAGGGTAGCTAGGTCTATTCTTGTTAGCGTGATTTACGTGGGTAGCTAGGTTAATTCTTGCTGGCGTTATTTACGTGGGTAGCTAGGTCTATTGTTACTGGCGTTATTTACGTGGGTAGCTAGGTCTATTCTTGCTGGCGTTATTTACGTGGGTAGCTAGGTCTATTCTTGCTAGCGTTATTTACGTGGGTAGCTAGGTCTATTGTTACTGGCGTTATTTACGTGGGTAGCTAGGTCTATTCTTACTGGCGTTATTTACGTGGGTAGCTAGGTCTATTGTTACTGGCGTTATTTACGTGGGTAGCTAGGTCTATTCTTACTGGCGTTATTTACGTGGGTAGCTAGGTCTATTTTTGCTGGCGTTATTTACGTGGGTAGCTAGGTCTATTCTTGCTAGCGTTATTTACGTGGGTAGCTAGGTCTATTCTTGCTAGCGTTATTTACGTGGGTAGCTAGGTCTATTCTTGCTAGCGTTATTTACGTGGGTAGCTAGGTCTATTCTTACTGGCGTTATTTACGTGGGTAGCTAGGTCTATTCTTACTGGCGTTATTTACGTGGGTAGCTAGGTCTATTCTTGCTCGCGTTATTTAGGTGAATAGCTAGATCTATTCTTGCAAACGTTATTTAGGTGAGTAGCTAGATCTATTCTTATTGATAGCATCTGATCTGTATTCGATGGGTAGCTAAGTCCTTCCTTTCTAAAGGTATTGCTAGCGCTGGATCTGAAGTTAGTGGTTAGCCATGTTGATACGTCCACCGGCCCTGTACACACTGTCGTAGCAAACGTTGTAGTATTATTGAACCTGACCTGCAGGTTTCCGTCCTGTCACCCCCCCCCCCCCCTTGTCCTGTGGTACTGGCCCCAGTTTTGTTGCCATTGATGAGCGCTGGTTGTACCGGAGGCAGGGGGAACATCTCGATTGTCTGTCACCTGCCTTCACTGATCCCCCCCGTCACCTGCCTTCACTGATCCCCCCCGTCACCTGCCTTCACTGATCCCCCCCGTCACCTGCCTTCATTGGCTCCCCCCCCCCCGTCACCTGTTGACTGAGGTCAACAAACCCCCGCCCACGGTAAATGGACTGCTCACGTTCACAACCAACTGTTGACGTTTGGAAATAGTCTTGCATAACGACAAGCCTCCCCGCCCCCACAGTGTTTGCCACTTCCCCCACGGTAGGGATGTCTCAGGTTGTTGTAGTTGAGTCAACTACTTTTCTTGAATGGAATGTCAGCCGACCCGTTTGTTGACACTGGGCCTCCTGAATAGTTCTTGTAGCTTGTGTTGTTGTTTTCATTGTTATTGTTATTTCAAACAGGTTATTTTAAATCGTTATCTGTTCTGTATCACGTGTTTCATTACAGGATTTAATTGTAGCCATTCCATTTGATAATAAAAAGTATTGAATTAATGCTGTGTCCTGTGCTGTAATACCATGTATTATACTACATTCTGTACCTTAGTCTACCCTTGGCGTTGAAATAATACTTCCTGTTTATATTGCTATTGTATTAAATAGACAGAATTGTTAAACCCTTGCATCAAAACAAGTTGGCCTTTGTGCTACTAATGCTCAGTCATATGGTATTGAGTTCACACATGAACAGTGGTATTCTTTTATCCCCTATGTTTATTTGAGAACAATGGAAAACTCCCTGTTTATATTTTTAAACATGTACATAGACTGCTGATGTTATATGCTTTTGAGACATTTTTTAACCCTCATATCAGCATTTTTAACTCTATAACATCTATACAGATAGTAACTCTGTTAAGTGCATGTACCTCTAGTTATCACTTGTGTTGGTTTGAGTGTGAATGTTTCATTCTTTAGCTCTATCAGGTACAGAAAAGAGCGCTCAATAAAGAAACAAAAATAAGTTGAATGTGAATTCCTTTCTTTTTTTTGTTATTTTGTAATATCCGAGGGGATTTCCTCCCACAAGTTTTACCTGTCAATGTGTTGTGTGTTATATGACCTGTTGATTCTAACTTCAGCCTGCTTTTCTTTCTGTACTTGCTTTCATAGCCTTTATCCATTTAAGAACAATCTGCATTGCAGTTTTCTCTTCTAGGTAAGTTGCTGTATCCAGCTAACGAGCCTCATGTGGCAGAGGTTCTGATCCTGGGACTTTTAGGTTAGCAATGATAAACTTTCCCACCCTACCACACCGACCCCTGAAGGTCTGACTCTACTACTCTATCAACAGGTACCACCATTACCTGCATCAGGAGCAGACAACTTCCGGCTGTCCACAACAGAGTACACCATCACTCTGTCCTTCAGACCTGACACAAGCGCCACCAACTACACAGCATCATTTCGGCTGAGTAACGGCTTCACCTATAACTACAGATGGGCACTCCCTCCATTCTCCAACATCCCAGTCAGTATTATGTTTGATGGCGGTCTGCCTGGTCAGCGGTATACAGTGGAGCTGGCTGAAGAACTCAGTTCCAGCCCTAGCAAGACAGTGTTTGCTCAAGAAACAGCTACAAGTAAGTGCATTATAAACACAATAGATTCTATGGTTAACAACAGGTGTTTTATGGGATATGTCAAGAAATACAATAAACTGCTATGAAAATATTCTCTGTGACACAATTTTATTTTTTAATGATGCTTTGAAGTTTGTACAATTTAATATATTTTGAAAAAATTAAAATACACTATTAGAAAGCCGTTTTCAATTTTATCGGAGGGGGAGTCACTGGACTTAACACGAATAAGATTGGAACCATTATTCCACAAAATGTTAAAAATATACCACACTTTTTCTATATATCGTAATAAAATATTTAAATTTTTATTTTTATATAGTTTGTGATATCAGAAACTTATAGTGACACTCTTATTTTTCTTGTGTTGTATAAAACTGTGTTATTTCTGTTGTCTATAAAAAAAGTATTTCATTTTGCAGTACCACTGAGTCCTGTGAATGTTACAGTGCAAGACAGGGGAAGTAACTATTTAATCTTGACATGGGCAACTGTGAATGATTTGTTGAACCAAGGCTTTGTGGTAAATTTTTGTTTCAATATAAAATATTTTTAAACAAAATCTTATGTTTATAACTATGACTATCTGTATGGGAAATTGTCAAATTATCTAACACAAAAAATATAATTCATTAATTCACATGTTCTAGAAGTCAATATTATTTCATTAATTTCTAAACATTTTACCTGATTAAAAAAAAAGTTTATTCCATGATGTTGCAGATAAGCTACAGAAAAGAAAATGATGCCCGACAAAGTATTAATACCTCAAGTGTCCTCACCTTCAACCTCACTGGTTTGAATGCTGGGTACAGTTACGAAGTTTCTATAGAAGCTGTCACATTAGACAAGAGAAGCAACCCATCAGACACTATCTTAGCCACCACTTGTAAGCTATTGCACATTGTTTTCACTTATGAATCTTTTCCATTAACATGAATACATTTTAATGAAATAGTTTCCCATGAATTGCTTTCCTGGTTTGATAAAAAAGGCTGGCAAGTGTTTTAAAAGTTAATGAACCACTACTATAATACAAATGTTTGAAGATGACACTAATTATGCAATTTGATTTTTCCAAAGTGAAACTAATTAGACAATTTGATTTCTCTAAACTGAAATTAATTAGACAATTTGATTTCTATAGTGAAATTAACTAGACAATTTGATTTCTCAATTTGATTTTTCTGAAATGAAATTAATTAAAGAATTAGATTTTTCTAAAGTGAAACAAATTAGAAAATTTGATTTCTTTAAACTGATATTAATTACCCTGTTTGAATTCTCTAAAGTGACACTAATCAGACAATTTGATTTCTCTAAAGTGACACGAATCTGACAATTTGATTTCTCTAAAGTGACACTAATCAGAAAATTTGATTTCTCTAAAGTGCCACTAATCAGAAAATTTGATTTCTCTAAAGTGCCATTACCACCTACCAACCTTGTGGCATCTGAAGACAGTTCAAATATGACAATATCCTGGTCACCACAGACAGGGTCCTATCAGGTCAGACATATTTTTCTTTGTTGATAAGTTTCATTGGGTTGGTTGGGGAGGTGGAGGTCCAGGATTCAAACCCAGGACTTATGGGTTAACAATTACTTGCTCTCCCACCTGACCTTGCCATCCCACTTGAACACCTTCACTAGAAGGGGAGCTTGTCCATCTTTTAGGCAATACCTCCATTTTTTAAATTTATTTTTTCTTTCCAAATTAGCACTTACAAATTTTTTATATGTTAGAACTTTATATTTTGTAGTTCTTAATTTTTAAATACCACATTACCCAATCCAAAATGCTAGTAATGAACCAAAACATGTTTTGTAGTACTTAAACTAAAAGAAAAAGGGTTGAATGATAAATGAATATGTGAATATAAAAAGGTTTAATGATAAATGATAACCTGAAAGTAAAATAAAATGTAAACTACTCCATGTGCAATAGGTATTGGCTAGCTCAAGCACTGAAACTCAGTTATAAATCTAATGGCTGACTATGGTTCAATCCATTCATCTATTTTAGTTTACTAGCATACTATGTTTAAAATGTTACACAAGGTATATGTTACTTGCTCTTCCAGGATTTCTACCAAGTGAAGTATTCTGTCAACGGGTCGTCCCCCTTGGTCACCACCCACTGTACTGACCCTCCCTGCTCATTTGCCCCTGGTCCCCCATCTGGTGTAACTGTCAGTATTTTTGTCTACTCTGTCAGCCATAACTTTACTAGTGTACCAGTCAGAATGGAACATTCAACAGGTTGGTACTTAAATATTCACACAATTAAATTTATAACAAACAGTAAAAGGAGACTTGGCAAATGAAAAAATTGAAAAAAAAAACAACACTACAGTACATCAGCATATAGAAGGGGTTCATTTATTATTGTAATAACTGGTTATTAGATAGAATACTTCATGGGTTTGATGTTAAAAGATGATTGCTCATAAATTTTTTAAATTTTATTTTTAAATAATATGATGTATATGTAATGGTGTTAGTATACAGCACGCATACATATATTTAATTCATTTTAAGAAGTATAATGTTTTTTTTTTTTTATTCTAACATAAGGTGCATAATATATGTTGAATCTAATTGATTGAATTATTTCATTTTAGACGCTTATTCAATAACTAATGTTTTCATAAATAAAAAAACACTTCTTCCTTGCTTCAGCCCCTGGTATAGTGTCCAACCTAAGAGCTGTAGAGGGTGTTAGAAGTCTGAACCTCTCCTGGACTGCCCCCAGTAACTCTGTACAAGTGAACTACAGCCTAATCCTGACCAGCCTCAGTAACTCACCAGAGAGCAAAGTCTCCACGTTTGTAGTACCTGCTGTGGGTAACCTTGTGGTCAAACAGCTGGACTCCTTGTATGGAGGCAACCTGTATGAGGTCAAGGTCAGGGCAGTGGCCAGGTATTCTATTGGAGCTGCCACTACAGAAAATTTTAGAACAGGTAAGTCACTGTTTTTTTTTTTTGTTTTTTTTGCAATATTAATATGGTAAAATGATTTCTTCAATTTTAAAACAACTCATCAAAATGAAAACAAAATGCTGTTTATAACATTGTAAAATTGTGAGGCAACATTATAAACTACTCGAAAGTTGTAGGTGACAATTATTTTTATGGGCATGTTTCTGTAATTCTGTAACTTTTTTTTTTTTTAACAAATGAGCTCATTAAATTTAAATCACAAACTAAACATAATTTTGCTCTTGAATTTGATATATTCATAGAATGTAACACTATATTTGCATATGCTCTTAAGTTTGACTTTAAGGTTTATAAATAGCTATTTATCAAATAACTGTCAATGAGGAACTGACTATTGAAAAAACAAACCTGATCACCTTCTGTTTGTCTGTACAGTTCCAGAGCCAGTAACAAACCTGACAGGCATGGCACTTAACACTACAGCTATCTTGTTGTCCTGGATTCCTCCAACTAGATCCTACATTGGATTTACCAACATCACAGTCTACTCTCCAGGTAGGGGATTCTATTCTCTCAAACTTGGATTCTATCATCTTTGTTGTGTTGATACTTTCTTTCTTATGATTCTATCCTACATTGGATTTACCAACATCACAGTCTACTCTCCAGGTAGGGGATTCTATTCTCTCAAACTTGGATTCTATCATCATTGTTATGTTGATTCTTTCTTTCTTATGATTCTATCATCATCGTTATTGTGATACTTTCTTTCTTATGATTCTTTGTGATACTTTCTTATGATTCTATCATCATTGTTGTGTTGATACTTTCTTTCTTATGATTCTATCATCATCGTTATTGTGATACTTTCTTTCTTATGATTCTTTGTGATACTTTCTTATGATTCTATCATCATTGTTGTGTTGATACTTTCTTTCTTATGATTCTATCATCCTTGTTATTGTGATACTTTCTTTCTTATGATTCTTTGTGATACTTTCTTATGATTCTATCATCATTGTTGTGTTGATACTTTCTTTCTTATGATTCTATCATCATCGTTATTGTGATACTTTCTTTCTTATGATTCTGTAATTTTTATATTGATACTTTCTTTCTTATGATTCTATATTCATTGTTATATTGATACTTTCTTTCTTATGATTCTATATTCATTGTTATGTTGATACTTTCTTTCTTATGATTCTATCATCATTGTTATATTGATACTTTCTTTCTTATAATTCTATCATTATTGTTATTGTGGTACTTTCTTTCTTATGATTCTATCATCATCATTATTTTGATACTTTCTTTCTTATGATTCTATCATCATCATTATTTTGATACTTTGTTTCTTATGATTCTATCATCATTGTAAGCTCGACACTATCTTTATTAGAAATTTGATTCTCTAAATAAATTCATACTGTCATCATTACTTTTAGAGTTTTCATTTGAAGTCCTATTTGCTTACGAATTTATCAGCAAAATGACTGAAAAAGCCATGTAAAATTTAACTTCAGGAGCCCAACAATCTGTGATAATCATATTGTACCCAAATTAGTCAACAAAACTTGACGTAATGAGCCATGTAAAATTTACCTTCTGGATCCCAACCGAATGTGATAATCATATTGTACCCAAATTAGTCAACAAAACTTGACGTAATGAGCCATGTAAAATTTACCTTCTGGATCCCAACCGTATGTGATAGTCATATTGTACCCAAATTAGTCAACAAAACTTGACGTAATGAGCCATGTAAAATTTACCCTCAGGAGCCCAACCCTATGTGGTAGAAGAAAATAGAGAATTTGTTAAGTCTCGTGAGCTGACAGACCTAATCCCTGGCCAGCAGTACAATGTATCTCTGAGTGTCTACAGTCCCTACAGTTTCAAACCCAGCTCTGAAGTTTTTGGTTTCTTTAGAACAAGTAAGTCACACTGCTTGTCTATTTAAATTAATACTAAATTTAAACAATAATGACTTGATTGTGTATTCTAGAGGGCTTATGGTTTGCGTGTTGGTGATTTACAGAGCCGGTTAAGCCAAGAATTGTGTCTGTTGGAGTTGAAGAAAGATCAATCAACCTTACATTGGCAAGACTCAATGATCAAGGAGTATTTACCTCAATACAGGCCTCACTATCAGTAGGAGAATCTCAGATGTATGTGGGTTTTTTGGTTTTTGGAGAATCTCAGATGTATGTGTTTTTTTGTGTAGGAGACTCTTATATGTATGTGTTTTTTTGGTTTAGAGACTCTTAGATGTATGTGTTTTTTTGTGTAGGAGAATCTCAGATGTATGTGTTTTTTTGTTTAGGAGATTCTCAGATGTATGTGTTTTTTTTGGTTTAGGAGAATCTTAGATGTATGTGTTTTTAGGATAATCTCAGATGTATGTGTTTTTTGGTTTAGGAGAATATTAGATGTATGTGTTTTTTTGGTTTAGAGAATCTTAGATGTATGTGTTCTTTTGTGTAGGATAATCTTAGATGTATGTGTTTTTTGGTTTAGGAGAATATTAGATGTACGTGTTGTCTAGTAAAGGAGAACTCAGTTTGTGTTGTTTATTAGATGAGATTTTTTAGATATATGGGTAGTTTAGTACTTTTGTCTTAGATGATGTTTGTATTGTAACTACTTTTAAATATAGCAAAAGCTGTTTAGAAAATTAGAATAAAGTATAGATCTACTCATAAAGAGCTAAACAATTGACACAAAAAATAATTAAAATACATTATAAAACTACTTACAAATTTTACCCACTACATAGAAAACCATGTTTGACTAAGTGGTAACATTTGTCACCCACTTAAGAAAAATAAATATGTGTTTAGACTAAAGTGTTTGTCTATTTTAACCTGATACCCAATCATCAGATGACTTGAAATGTTCTTGTTTCAGTGTCAATGCTGCCAGAAATATGATCTTCAGCAGCCTCATCCCTGGTACTCACTACAAGCTGGATGCTTATGTGCTCAGTGGACAGGAGTCTAGTGAACATATCTATGCTGATTTGTACACAAGTAGGTTGTCATGGTAACTGTTTTGTTGTGTACATGGGCTCAGTGGCCAGGAGTCTAGTGAACATATCTATGCTGATTTGTACACAAGTAGGTTGTCATGGTAACCATTTTGTTGTGTACATGTGCTCAGTGGACAGGAGTCTAGTGAACATATCTATACTGATTTGTACACAAGTAGGTTGTCATGGTAACCATTTTGTTGTGTACATGTGCTCAGTGGCCAGGAGTCTAGTGAACATATTTATGCTGATTTGTACACAAGTAGGTTGTCATGGTAACAGTTTTGTCATTATGTCCATGTGTCCTGATTGGGCAGGAATCTATTGAACATGTTGATGCTGATTTATACACTAGTATGTTGTCTTGGTAACCATTTTGTTTAATGGTAAACATGTCTTTGTTTTGATGCCCTATGTTCTAACAACATGCATGCAGATAGTGAAGTCTATTTACAATAGTTTCCATAGTAACCATTATCTGATTACTGCATGATACACTTTGTGTCTTATGACTAAACAAATTGGGTATCAACAGAACCAAGACTACCACCAAGGTGTATGTGTCCACTGATGGTGATGTTTGTTTAGGCTAGAAGCCCTGTAAACATTATATTTTTGTTTGATACACAAAGTTTACCAATGTGTGGGTATTTACAGAGCCAAGACCACCACAAAATGTGTATGTGTCCACTGATGGAGAGGACAAGGTATTTGTGGAGTGGGACGGCCCTGATGAAGGAGGATTTGACAACTTTACTGTAACAATCTTTGATGTAGACAATGCTGACAATGCATGGGTATGTAAAAACTTTACTGTATGTAAAAACTTTACTGTATGTAAAAACTTTACTGTATGTAAAAACTTTACCGTAACAATCTTTGAGATAGACAATGCTGACAATGCATGGGTATGTAAAAACTTTACTGAAACAAAGTTACTCAGTTTAAATTTTTATTGTAACAATCTTTGAGATAGATAATACTGACAACTAAATTAAAACTTTACTGAAAGAAAGTTACATAGATAATGCTGACAGCTCATGGATATGTTAAAACCATCAAATGCATTTCATGGTAGATACCATTTTTAAATCTAATCTAAGTTGGAAATGATGTAAAACAAGTAAAGTTCCATTTTTAAATCTGACTGTCCATGTGAAGTAGAGTTTACTTGTTTCTATGACCTGAGTATATGAAGGGATAATGTGGTCAGCACTATGCCCAGCGGCCTTTACTTACCCTAATGTGAATTAGGTACCCATCAGAGCTGGGTGGACTCAGGGAAGTTGTACTGACTTGAACCCGGATTTGAACTCGAGACTCAGCCAGGCAGTCCTGGAAATGATAACAATGAAAATATCTAATATTTTTCAATAGTTTTTTTACATTTTTTTTGTAAATTATATTAATATTTCTACAGTTATTTATAAACTTTATTTTCATTCTATAGCAAAGAATATATTTGATTTTTTTAAATATGTGCATCAGATTAATGAAACATTAAACTTGTATGTTGTGTCTAGAGATTGTTTAAAATATGTGCACAAGATTAATGAAACATTAAACTTGTATGTTGTGTCTAGAGATTGTTTAAAATATGTGCACAAGATTAATGAAACATTAAACTTGTATGTTGTGTCTAGAGATTGTTTAAAATATGTGCACAAGATTAATGAAACATTAAACTTGTATGTTGTGTCTAGAGATTGTTTAAAATATGTGCACAAGATTAATGAAACATTAAACTTGTATGTTGTGTCTAGAGATTGTTTAAAATATGTGCACAAGATTAATGAAACATTAAACTTGTATGTTGTGTCTAGAGATTGTTTAAAATATGTGCACAAGATTAATGAAACATTAAACTTGTATGTTCTGTCCAAAGTTTGGTATTGATTGTTTAAAATACAAGCACTGGATTAATGAAACATTAAACTTGTATGTTGTGTCCAGAGCTTGGTGACAACAGATCTGTTTGCTGAGTTTGATAGACTTCTACCAGGCAGCACGTATAATGTCTCTGTCAGCACAATCAAAGGGGATCAGATCAGTAGAGAAGTCTGGGACTCTAATACCACCAGTAAGTTGATATCTATATCACACTTGTTCTCTGTGGTTTTGTTTCAACTGATTTTGTTTCAGCTCATCTAGCTTTATGATGAAGAGTGCTAGTGTGTTATTTGTAACACTTATTTTTTTTATTCATAATTTTAAAGAAAGTAATTTTTTTTTAAACTATTGAATATAACAAGATATCTGACTAGTAGGAAAAAAATATTTTGAATTTAACAAGATATCTGACTAGTAGGGACAAAAATATTTTGAATATAACAAGATATTAGACTAGTAGGAAAAAAATATTTTGAATATAACAAGGTATCTGACTAGTAGGGACAAAAATATTTTGAATATAACAAGATATTAGACTAGTAGGAAAAAAATATTTTGAATATAACAAGGTATCTGACTAGTAAGTTGAATCATTGGTAGAGCAAACAATTTCTAACATGAAAGGGTCAAGGTTCCCAGCAGTTTGAATCTTTAGGACATGTCTGGAGTCCACCATTCACTAAAGGGTACTCGTGTAAAGTCAAGGAAGCTGCTTATGGTGCTAACAAGATTGTCACCTTAATATGCTGCTGTGATGAAAAGTGATGAATGCCATTCTAAAACTGTTTTTTACCTCTTCTTAAATTCTAATGTTTTTGATTTAATGTAATTTATTTATTTCTATACAAAAGGCTTTTTTTGTTGAATATTTTAGCAGTATATTGCCACTTTTTTTTAATAATTTTTTAACCATTTTGTAAAATTATTCAAGATAGCTTTAAGATTTCTTTTTTATAAAACAGCAGATGTTGCAATAAATTAATTAAAGTATTTTACATTACATATTTTGACATTTTAGTATACTATTGAACTTTATTATTGCACATTGCTCAATTAACTTTTAAAATAGCACTTTCATGATAATTTTTGCTATGATATGCTTCTGTCATTCTTTTAATAAGAACATTTTAGTTTTGTTACATTGTTGAAGTTGTTTATTGCATGATGTAATTTTGATTTCTCCACCCCCCCTCCCCCCCTCGGCAGGCCCCCTACCTGTGTCCCAGTTAAGAGTGTCCCTACGTGGCACTGAAACTGTGACTGTGACGTGGAGCCCCCCAGCCAACTCAGCTCTTTTAGGATATGCTTTGAGCTTTGCTTCCTCTAATCTAACCCTGAAGCTCCTGCCCAAGACGACCCTGCAGTATAAGCTAGACGGTCTGTCACCAGATACTAACTACACCCTGGAACTGTACACTGTTACAAGACGCTACGCCGATAATATTTTGCTCTACAGCTCAGCTGTGTTCTTGAATTTTTCCACTTGTATGTCACACTTCAACACTTCTTTTTCTATTTCTTTTTGTTTTTATTTCCAGTTTCTATTTTTTATAACAACAGACTATGGTACACATTCTAAGCGGGTCAAAAGTCACTCTTCAACAATTCTTTTTTTATTTATTTCCAGTTTCTATAACATCAGATTATGGTACACATTCTAAGCGGGTCAAAAGTCACTCTTCAAGAATTCTTTTTTTATTTATTTCCAGTTTCTATTTTTTATAACAACAGACTATGGTACATATTCTAAGCTGGTCTAAAGTCAACTTTCAAATTTCTTTCCTTTTTTTTTAAATTGAACTTTTTTTAACACCTTTTTATCTTTGTCTGGTGATAGATTCTGGCATAATTCTGGGTCTTTTTATTTCAGATTTTACAGATAATTTTTAACCTTTTTCTATGAAAACATTTCCAGCATAATTTTTTCACCATTCCACAGAATTGCTCAAGTTAATAAAAAGAAACAGATTCTTTAACCACCTTTCTAAGCTGCTAAAACAAAATATGAATTTTAATGCTATTAGTCATTACCGTACAAAAAGAGCAGATTCAGGAGGTGAATCTTTTGGAAAGAATAAAAAATCTTCTATGCATGCAGGCTTAACTTCTGCTCAAGTTCACATTTATTTATTTATTTCTCTGCTGCAAGATAGAAATGCTTTACGATACATATTTATATACTTTTCATGCTTTTTATAAAGTTGCAGTATTGCATGCGAAGGTGTATCTTTATAATCTTATTTTATAACTGGTGGTAAAATTTGACATTTTATTTTTATTTCATTTTATTTTCCTAACATTTAAAACAATAAATGATTTCAAAAGTTATCTAATGGAGATTTGTTAAAATAGAAGAAATTTTTTTTTGTTCTTTTGAAACATAATAAATTTAACAGTACTAAAGATATATAAAGATTGAAATTTTTTTAAAATTTTAATCTCACAGTGATCTCTTGAAAAAGAGCTAGATCTATATAAAAAAAAAATTTTCATAAATAATTTTTAAAACAAAAATGCATATATAGGTCTACATGTCACTATATTTTAATTTAGTCATCCATTTTTGTGCTGAAAAAATAAAACAATCTACTAACATTGAGACATGCTGTGCGTAATGTACCAGTTAACCTGAAATGATGGTGTGTGTGTGGCCTACAGATCCTGAGTCAGTCGCAGCATTACAAAACTTTCTGACAACCAGTGACAGCATCACTGTCAAGTGGACACCCCCTGTCAGTGTCAGCTTTGACTTTTATCAAATAGGAATCAAGGCTGATGACCCAACCACTCGGCCAGATGAGCCGGCGCAAAATTTAGCCAAGTAAGTTCTCATCAACAGACCTTCACTATCATGTTCTAAAAGTAGGACCTAAGACTGGGTTAGAAATGTTTTTAACAGCTGATTGTTGACCCTAACTGCTATAAGGTCTAATAGTGGGACTTGAAGAGCAAAAACACCACATTATTTTTTTTTATCTTTTTACAAGCTTTTATCTTTATCCACAATCTGGGACAAAACTGTTTTTAGGATGCCTCATAATTCCACTTTTAAATCTTAAATTGCTGTTAAAAAAGTTTAATTCCACTTTTAAAACTCAAATTGCAGTTAAAAAAGGTTAATTCCACTTTTAAAAATTAAATTGCAGTTAAAAAAGGTTAATTCCACTTTTAAAACTAAAATTGCAGTTAAAAAAGGTTAATACCACTTTTAAAACTAAAATTGCAGTTAAAAAAGGTTAATTCCACTTTTAAAACTACAATTGCAGTTAAAAAAGGTTAATTCCACTTTTAAAACTAAAATTGCAGTTAAAAAAGGTTAATTCCACTTTTAAAACTAAAATTGCAGTTAAAAAAGGTTAATTCCACTTTTAAAACTAAAATTGCAGTTATAAAAAGTTTGATCCCACTTTTAAATCTAAAATTGCAGTTAAAAAAGGTTAATTCCACTTTTAAAACTAAAATTGCAGTTAAAAAAGGTTAATTCCACTTTTAAAACTAAAATTGCAGTTAAAAAAAGTTTGATCCCACTTTTAAATCTAAAAGTACAGTTAAAAAAAAAAACAGTTTAATTTAAACCTTGCACCATTTTCTGTTTCAGGACAGTCAATAATGCAACAATTAAAAACTTGGAACCTGGCATCGCTTACACTTTGGCCATTCGCACAGGGAAGATGATATCACCCGGCAGGGTTCAGTATGGCACGGTGGTTAAACTAAGGGTGGTAACAGGTAAGAAGGGTTTTACTCTTGGTTAAGTTTAAACTTACGGTGGTTAAACTAAGGGTCATAACAGGTAAGAAGGGTCTTTTATAAGTTTCACTCTAGGTTAAGTTTAAACTTACGGTGGTTAAACTAAGGGTGGTAACAGGTTAGAACACTCTTTTAGAAGTTTCACTTTAGTTTAAGTTTAAACTTACGGTTTTAAAACTAAGGGTGGTAACAGGTAAGAAGGGTCTTTTAGAAGTTTCACTCTAGGTTAAGTATAAACTTACTTATTGTTACACCAGAGTGGGCAATCTGCCAGTGCTTTCCAGTCGACTAATTTCTTATCAGTTTTCTACTGGTGTGATATTTCATCTTTCTTCCATCATCCTCTTTGTTATGTCTCCTTTCATTCTAAGAAAGAACAAGTTTGTCAGAGAAATGCAGGAATTAATTAGAGAGTAACTGCAGTCTTGTAGGGTTTTATACAACTTCTTGAAAAAAAATAAAAAATGTTTTGAATATCCATCTTCATTACTGTACAATTTATAAAAACAATATTTGTATGATAAATATGAATATTCATGCTTCAAAGTCTAATAAATGCCTAGATTTGTTTTCATACACCCTAACAGATTTTTTACCCCTACATCCCTGCCATCACAGATCATCACAAAAAGCCATACACACCCTCCCTATATGACATTACAAAGCTCCATCCATATCTCCAAAATTAAAAATCTCACATATCTGAGTGTCCTAATCTTAATTATTTGACCACATTTATAGATGACCAAGCTAATATATGAAGAAAAACATTTATCAGGTTACGTTTAATTAATAAACAAGTTATTTACAATTTTTTATTAATCTAATCAGATTATTGCAAAATTGACATTTGTTTTCTGCTTTTTTTTTAATGTACATAGGCTATTTAGTAAAAAAAAACATCTACTGATTATCATCATTTTGTATTATTTTTTTTTACTTGTAAGATTTGATATACAAGTTTCATGTTGTTCTTGAATTATTATTAAAATCACTAAAAGTAGACACAATGTTCAGGATCATCAATATGAAAGATCTCTTATGCCATGATCAATTTTATCTAAGAAAACTGTTTTTATTTTAAATTTGTTTTTGATCAATGGCACTAAAATAATGTTGTATAACTTTAAACAAAAAATGTTTGTTAACTTATACAACAGTCTCTTTATAACAGAGAGTGCACTTCTTCACCTTTGTACTTATTTATAATATTGAAGTTGATTTTGTGTGTCAACATGTTATGCGCCATATTCCCTGTTGATTTTGACTCCAGCCAATATTTCTTTCTGGATTTTCTTCCATAACCTTTATCCATCCAAGAACAATATGCAGGGCAGTGGTTGTTTTGAATTTGGAGTTTTCTCACCAAAATGGGTTGAAGTACCCAGCTAATGAGCCTCATCTTCCTAGGGTCTGAACTTGAGACTTTTGGAGCTAGGAATCATATGCTCTCTGTTTGAACATGCAGTCCCCTAAGAGAGTGCACAATCAAGGCTTACAGTTATGTTTAGTAGCTACCAATAGTTTATCAGCTTTCACACATATCCATATGTTGTTTTTTATTTGTTCTCCTCATCACCCCATAAAACAATGATAAATAACTATCTTAAATTTGTTTCAACAGAATTTAAACTACTACTCAACAGCCATTAAGAGTTTGGTAAAAAGAGCAAGCTCATTTGATTCATTTTAGCTTGTAGAATATCAAATTTGTATCAGGATCATAGGTTTTTTTTATTTTAAAAAAGCAACAAATAATTACTATGACTGCTTTCTATCATTGCTAGTTACTCAGTATATGCCTGGATAATTTTTCTAATGAAAATATTGGCTTCTCTGTAAGATCTCACACAATTTTGATTTGATTTACACTTTTGCTTTTAAAAATGTATTGCAGCTACTTCAATCAACTATTTACAAAAGACCACCCTTTAAATCTTTCACATTTGCTAGAAATGCTTTTCTGACTCTACTCACACCATATATTCTATTCAAAGATGTAATTTTAAAAATGTATGTTCAGTTACTGTCTAATTAGAATTTTTAGTACACAATTTAGGTGCAAAGTCTTATAGCAGTTTGCTTAGTCTTACTAAAATATAGATTTTCATCATTCTGTTTTTATTTAGACCCTATATTTATCAATTTTTAAAATGTATTTACCATGTTAGAAATGTCCCAAAATAATACTTTATACTTCTTAAGTTTTTGTTACATTTTAAAAATTAATTTATTTTTTAATAGTGCATTTTGGGATTGAGTATCAAATACTAATTGTGTCAGTGTTATTATAAATATGTAATGCTCTTTGATTATTCTAAACTTTAATATTTATCTATTTATAGCTCCACTAGCAGTAGAAAATCTAAATGTGGCAAGTTTGAACACAACAGCTTTATTCCTATCCTGGTCAGTTAGCAGTAGCAGTAATCAAACAAGCTTTGATGTAAGTTTTACATGTTTATTCCCATCTTGGTCACTAACAATAGTTATCTACACCAGAAATGTGGGATAGCGCAACATAGCGGTAGAGTGCTAGTCACTAGCAATAGCCATCTGCAACAGAAATGTGGGATAGCGCAACATAGCGGTAGAGTGCTAGTCTGCCAACACAAAAGTCTTGAATTTGAATTTTGGTTCAGTTCATTAGAATGTACCTGAGTCCACCCAACTCTGATGGTTACCTGACTTACGTTAGGGAAAGTAAAGGCAGCACGGCATAGTGCTGATCATATTATTCCTTCATATGCAGAGGTCACTTAAACAGGTGAACTCTAATTCACTTGCCCCATGGACGGGCAGGTTCAATAAAGGGACTTAACTCTAACAGAAATTTGATAAAAGTTTTACTAACAAAGAAATGTAGCCTTAAGTTTTGTTCTGATCAATACTTTTTGATAATATCTAACAATAAATGTACCATTTAACATATTTTGGCAGCGGCTTATCATTTAAAGTAGTTTACAATCATGTTGTGTTTCAGATATATGCTAACAAAAACTACTTAGTAAATGCGACTAAACAGTTGAACTATAACCTGACAATGAGTGACCTCACACCTGGAACCAGCTATAGTGTCTCCGTTGTTGCTGTTAAGGAGGAAGCTAGAAGCAGCCCTAAAAGTGTACAAGGACTTACAGGTGATCTAGTGCTTGCTGTTTTCTCTACATGGCTGTAGTTGATATTGTGTTTTAAAAAGATGGGATCCAAACATAATGTATGGAATATTTTAAACATAAAGCTGTAAATCTAGCCTAAATGTTTACATGGTCTATTGTTACACAGTTTGTTTACTGACCTAAACTGTTCATTTGTTCCAGCACCCAACCCAGTGACCAATCTAAATATAGAACTCAGTTCCCCCACTAGTCTACAAGTCACATGGATAAGACCCAGTGCAGGAAGATCTGACAGCTTTAATATCAGCTACAAATCACTCAACTCCAGCTCGATGAACAACACTAGCACTACATCTACAAGTAAAACCATCTCTGGTCTATTTCCTGGTTACACATATGAGTTCAATGTCACAGCTGTTAGCAATGGTGTACAAAGTCAAGAGGTTACAAAAGTTTATGCCTTGAGTAAGTAAATGATGCTATTTCATATTGTTTATATTTTGTTTGTTTGTTTTTCATTTGTCAAATATTTGAGTTTCATTCTAGAAAGTTGAAATTATTTATATGAACAATAATTTGAAAAAAAAATCTTATTATATAGATACCAATTTAAAAAATCCATGTTTTTAATATGCCCATTTACATTAGTTTTTAATTTCTCTTATGGTTTTTTGTTTTATTATTAGTTTTTACATCTATTGTGTATTTAGCCACATTTAGTTAAGTTATTTTCAAGATCTATTGTTTATTTAGTCACAATTATTATTATTATTTTTAACATCTATTGTTTCTTTGTATTATATTTAGTCAAATTAGTTTCATCATCTTTTGTTTATTTTGGTTACATTTAGTCAAATTTTGATTAACGCATATTACTTATTTAGTCTCATTTAGTCAAATTAGTTTCAATACTGCTTGTTTATTTAGTCACTTTTAGTTAAATTATGTGTTAAACACCTGTTGCTTATTTTGTAACATATAGTCAAATGATGTTCATCAATTGTTTATTTAGTCACATTTAGTCAAATTCTGTTCATCTATTATTTATTTAGTCACATTTAGTCAAATTATGTTCACCTATTATTTATTTAGTCACATTTTGTCAAATTATTTCCACCTATTTTTAATAATTTAGTCCCATTTAGTCAAATTATGTCCGCCTATTATTTATTTAGTCCCATTTAGTCAAATTATGTCCGCCTATTATTTATTTAATCACATTTTGTCAAATTATGTCCGCCTATTATTTATTTAGTCAAATTATGTTCACCTATTATTTATTTAGTCACAATTAGTCAAATTATATTCACCTATTATTTATTTAGTCACATTTAGTCAAATTATGTTCACCTATTATTTATTTAGTCACATTTTGTCAAATTATTTCCACCTATTTTTAATAATTTAGTCCCATTTAGTCAAATTATGTCCGCCTATTATTTATTTAGTCCCATTTAGTCAAATTATGTCTGCCTATTATTTATTTAATCACATTTTGTCAAATTATGTCCGCCTATTATTTATTTAGTCACATTTAGTCAAATTATGTTCACCTATTATTTATTTAGTCACAATTAGTCAAATTATATTCACCTATTATTTATTTAATCACATTTAGTCAAATTATGCCCGCCTATTATTTATTTAGTCACGTTTAGTCAAATTTTGTTCCCTTAGGTCCACTACCACCAGAAAATGTCAGCAAGGTCAAAGGTGAAACCAATGAAACTAATGTTAAAATAACTTGGCAACATGATGCAACAAAAACTTACTGTGAAAAATGGGAGATCACTTGGTTGACTTATAGCCAGACAGTCAACACTACCCAAGATAAAACATATACGTCTACTGTAGGCCAACTGGTCGCTGGTAAAACATACACAGTCACAGTTGTCAGTGTGGTAGGAAACAAAAGATCAAACAATGTCCAGCTCAAAGTAACTACAAGTAAGTTGGTCTTATGATACAGAAATAGCTTGCTATTTGTTGCTATATTTTATATACATGAAAATGTAATAGTACTGAAAGTTAATGTCTAAATTAAAATAGAGAATATTTATTCAACAGTTTATTAGTCTATTAATTTTATTAATATAATATTCATTATATTACACAGAAAATTAGTGTAAAATTAGATTTAATGAAACTATTATCTTGTCCTTCTCAGAACCTCTAATGACATCTAAACTAACAGAAGTATCAAGCACTAATAGTTCTATTAGATTCAACTACACTGTTGTAAGTGGTGATACATTTGACAACTTGACCTTTAGTTTAAAGGATGGAAACAATGTAGACAATGTAGACAATGTAAGCCCAGTGACAAGAACTAAAAGTGATCCAAAAGATGTTGAGTTCTCTGGTCTGACAGCTGGGACTAAGTACACTGTGTCCGCAGTAACCAACAGCAATGATGAAACAAGCTCTCCCAAAATACTACAGATCCTAACTAGTAAGTTCACACATTGCTAAATGTAAATTTAAAAAAAACTGTTACAGCCATCTTGTAAGAAATCACAACAATTGTCAAACACAATTTAACATTTAGAGCTTACTGTACCCTTATATTTGTATCTCTAGTAAAGCTGATAATGACGCATCAACCTCATGCCTCATTGTTTTTACCACATAAAAATCTGTATTCACCACATTTTCCTGTTTGTGCCCAAGACACATAGGGCAGATGACAGGGCACCTGTTTCTGTGACCTTGACATATGAAGGAATAGTGTGGTCAGCACAATGCCCAGCTGCCTTTATTTTCCCTAACATGAGCTGGGTGGACTCGGGGACATTCCACTGACTTGAATACAGATTCTAACTTGAGACTTTCATGTTACAGTCTAGTGCTCTACCTCTAGGCCACACCAACCCTCTGTATTACACACAGTTTTTAAAAATTTGACAATATCTTTTGTAATATTTTATATTATAGATACATTTTAATGCAAGCATGAACCTGTATCATTTCTTTGATTTATTTACCAGTCTTTAAATAATGTTTCAATGTCACCAGATCCTAATGCCGTCCCTGTCAATCTATATCCATACTCTCAAAGTGTAACTTTAGAGCTGGGCCCACAACTAGGTGATGCTGCTAATTACATCATTACATGTATGGACTCTAACAACCAAAGCTGTAAAGAAAAGAAAGTCCAGAGATCCCAGAATCTCAAATTTAATGAGACAATCAGTGACTTGAAACCATACCAGGATTACATGTTTACTGTGGAAACACAGACTGAGACTTTGGATGGACATTACAAAAATGTAACAAAAATGTACTCCATTAGGACATTACAAGCTGGTGAGTTTAATTTGTAGGCTACTCTCTGAAATTTATCATTTTGTAGCTATTAATCTTTTAGATACATTAGCTAGAAATAAAATTTGTTGACATTTTTTTAAGAATACCTACAAAAGTTGTGTGAATAACTTTTTGTTTGTCAGTGTGTCTTATATTAAATACTATCAGATTCTATAGAGTGATACAGTTATATTAAATGCTATCAAAGATTCTATAGAGTGATACAGTTATGTAAATGCTATCAAAGATTCTATAGAGTGATACAGTTATGTAAATGCTATCAAAGATTCTATAGAGTGATACAATTATATTAAATGCTATTAAAGATTCTATAGACTGATATTGTTATATTAAATATTATCAAAGATTCTATAGACTGATACAGTTACATTAAATACTATCAACGGTTCTATAGAGCAGGGGTCGGCAACCTGCGGCTCGCGAGCCGCATGCGGCTCTTTTGATATCAAGATGCGGCTCTCCAGCTCTTTGAACAAATACTAATAATCTTAATAAAAAAATAAAATATTTAAAATAAAAAAATGTTAGTGGCTCTTTAAAACCAGGGAAATTTTGAAAATTGTAACTTTTGGCTCTTCCGCTTCAAAAGGTTGCCGACCCCTGCTATAGAGTGATACATTTATATTAAATACTATCAAAGATTCTATAGATAGATACAGTTATATTAAATACTATCAACGCTCCTATAGATTGTTACAGTTCTCTCTCTGTAAAAACTGTCCACAGCCCCTGGTCCAGTTGTATCTTTAAATGCAAGTGAACCAGTGTTCCGTACAGTCAAGTTAACATGGAAGCCACCTGTTGAAGCCAATGGAAACATTACTAAATACATGATCAGTTATACTAAGGATAATGATAAGCAAGAGGAGGTGAATATATTGAATATATTTGTTAAGTGCTGGTAAAAAATGCATACACATGTAACTACACAATGTTTTAATTACAAGGATGAATGCACATTCCATGGTAATTGCGCAATGGCAAAAATTATTGTCATATTTTTATACTGATATGAGGAATGTGTGTTCTAAGCTTACAATGCTCTGTTTGTTTCCTGTGTTAACATATGACCTTTCTTGTTTGTATTAGATTTTTTCCACTGAATCTTTGATGACTGAATTCACCATAGCAAATCTCACACCTGGAGTATCCTACACCTTTAAGGTCAGTGTGGTTCATGTATTGTACTTTAAGGTCAGTGTGGTTCATGTATTGTACTTTAAGGTCAGTGTGGTTCATGTATTGTACTTTAAGGTCAGTGTGGTTCATGTATTGTACTTTAAGGTCAGTGTGGTTCATGTATTGTACTTTAAGGTCAGTGTGGTTCATGTATTGTACACCTTTAAGGTCAGTGTGGTCATGTATTGTACAACTTTAAGGTCAGTGTGGTCATGTATTGTACAACTTTAAGGTCAGTGTGTTCATGTATTGTACTTTAAGGTCAGTGTGGTTCATGTATTGTACTTTAAGGTCAGTGTGTTCATGTATTGTACAAATTTAAGGTCAGTGTGGTTCATGTATTGTGCTTTAAGGTCAGTGTGTTCATGTATTGTGCTTTAAGGTCAGTGTGGTTCATGTATTGTACACCTTTAAAGTCTGTTTTTATTATTTTTTTTAATTTTTATTATTTGCTTGACACTTTCATGTATACTGAAATATATCTTTTTACCACCTCTAATATGTTCATGTTTTTATTTACAGGTATCAGCATTCACTGTGGAGAAGGGCAATGAAACTGAGATAAAATATGAAACAAAAACACAAGGTGATTAGTCTTATAGTTGTGTTTTATCATGTTAAAATTACTTAAACTAACATCAGCTAGCTACACAAATATTAAATATTGGTAATTTAAAATAATAAGTTCCTAACAAGCAACTTCTAATTACACTTACCTTCTTAATAGTTCTTAATTGTAATGTTGGAAATCCTTACCTCTAACACAATTATGTCTCAACTTGTTATGCGCCATATAGGCAGTTGACTCCAATTTCAGCCTGCTTTTCTATTTGGATTTGCTTCCATAGCCTTTTTTCTATCCAAGATCAAACAACAAGGCAGCAGTTGTTTGTTTATGGTGTTTTCTCTTGTAGATGGGTTGCTGTTCCTAGTTATCAAGCCTCATCTACCTGGGGTTTGAACTAGGGACCAGAGGTGTAGCGAGGGCGGGGTGTTCGGACCGCACAGAGTGACCCGATTTAGGGGGGATGACACCATGGCAAAAAAATTGCAAAATGTACAGAAGAAAAATGCTTTATGCCAGTTCCATTAATGATAATTTAAAGTTAAATAGTCTTTTAAGTACTAATTGACAATTATTACAAGAGGGTGGGGGTGACACCATGACGTAAACACGCTAACTATAGAGAAAACAATGCTACATCCAACTGTATTATTAACAGACTATAGATAAACATTGTTACTATTAAGTCTGCAGTGATTAAAGCTTATACACATATACAGTCATACACTCACACTCATACACACTCATAGCAATGTAAACAGAAAGTGATATTTCAACACCAAGGGTAGACAAAGGTACAGAATATAGTCCAAGTAAAGTCAGAACAGTCAGAACCCAACGGGATCCGAACCTACCATTCCACACGGTACCAAATCGCCTCGCCTTCCATGCATCAAGTATAGACATGTAATCACTTCTGCCAATCAGGTTCGGATCCCGTTGGGTTCTGACTGTTATGACTTTACTTGGACTATATTCTGTACCTTTGTCTACCCTTGGCGTTGAAATATCACTTTCTGTTTACATTGCTATTTCAGTTACACCGCTTGCTTCTACCCCTCACCATGTTTACACACTCATACACACACACATACTTTGATTTATTTTTATTTTTTTGGGGGAGGGGGTGACACCACAAAGTGCCGCACCGGGTGACACCTGACCTAGCGACGCCACTGCTAGAAACTTATAAGTTTAGCAATCATAAGCTTTTACTCACACAACCAAGCCAACCCCTAAACCACTCTTATAGCTCAGGTTGTAAAAAAGGCAGTAACTTAAAAATGTCTTCTCTTGTTGTATATAAATCTTTTAGCCCCAGTATTTAAAGAAAGCCTTACACTGGAGAGCAGCAAACCCGAGTTAGCACCAGAAGATCAGAGACCGGTGACAGAAAACCAGCTCAAGCTACTTTTTATCAACCCATTCAGTGACGCCAATGGAAAAGTTATGTACGTTATTGATAGCACCTATTGAAAGATGATTTGTAACAGTTTTAAAAATCTTGTTATTTTCTATAGGTATCATATGAGAGAGTTGAAATTACAATTGGTCTAATAATCCAAACATTGAACTGTCCTATCGTATGAGAGTGTTTGAAATTTAAATAGGTATAATAATCCAAAGATTGAACTGTCCTTACAGAGAGTATTCAGTGATTGTATCAACAGAGCCCTCACCTGAACATGACACTAATGATGACTTGCCAAGTTGGGGCCAGGCTAGAGAGGACAGTACAATAAAAGTTTACAAGGCCATCAATAGGTGGGTACAGGTTGAACTTTCATTGGGTTTGCATATTTGACTGGGTTGGCATGGTGGAGTGGGTTGGCATGGTGGAGTGGGTTGACATATACAAATGGGTTGACAGGGGAAAAAATGAAAGATTTGTTGATTTTAGCCAACAGATTTATCTTCTGCTAACAAGGACAGAAATATTCCACAATCAACTAAATTTTAACCACAGCTCTAACTGTCTCAATCATGGCAGTCAACTAATTAAGATATTTTTTTTAAGTCTGTGTAATAAAATTTACTATATGTTTAACAACTGTAGCTGTTTTTGTGTAGATTTCTTCTTAAACATTATTTTCTACACTGATGCAGTCAAATTCTCTATACCAAAAATTGACTGACCGATGTTATTTCATAGATATTTTGACCCGACTGTTTAGGCTATAAGCCCTACATTGCAACTTATATTAATTATTCCTTTAAAAAATAACCATATTTTTTTTACTATTTCTTCTGGACCTTCTTTACTTCTTCAGTAAAGACTTCTTCAGTATTTCCTCATATCTATCCCAATATTTTCATCTGACAGATGTAAAGACTTCTTCAGTTCAACCTCATCGTGTGGAACTGCTAGAAGAAAAAAACGTGAAACAGATAACACTGGACACCTGTTTGTTGTTGGAGCTGAGTTGAATTGTGAGGGGAAAAAATTCTGTAATGGCCAGCTGTCTGAGAACACGGGGTATTACATCAAGCTGCGGGGCTACACCAAGCATGGACATAATGACACAGCTTATTCAGACATGATCAAAACAGGTGTGCTATCCTCTGTTCTTTTATTTGCTAATATTAATAAATCTTCAAATTTTTTAAAGCTGAGACATTGCTAATATAATGCTAAGGTTGTATTAACAAAAAACGTTGAGCCATGATTTAAGGAGAGGTGGTTCTCTTTTGTGTTTTAGCTGCTAATGTTATTGAATTTAAACTATCATAGGCTGTGTGGTTATAGCTGTACACTTAATCTGACACTGTGATTTGATGTTGTTTTATTAGAAATACAGATCTATTTTTTGTTTTTCAGGTTTTTACTTTATTTTTCTGGTAAATTTGATCCAGCTTGCTTTGTTATGTTATAATTGTCTCAATATTTAGGGGTCTAGGCACTAAAGGTTAAGTACTAAGTTACCAGAAAAGATTTCAATAATAATGATGTTTAAAGACCCTCGTCTCATGATTATCATATAAAAACATCTCTCATGTCTGAACTACTTTAACAATTAGTGTGGAGAAAAAGAAATTAGACTTAACACATTAAATAAGTACATGGATCAATTTAAATAAAACTGAGGAGAAATGACAAGCTATTCTAATGACAAAATGCATCCTTAAAAACACTAGTTTAATCTGCCAAGGTATTGTTATAAACTGCATGTTAATCGTATTATAGTGGTTTGGGGATTTATTTACTCTTTTACCTATACTTAAGGTCAGCAGCCTGCATCAAATACATCTTTCACCTATACATATTAAATTACATAACTTTAAGCTTTTATGTGTATTATGGCATTGTATCTTAATTGTTGCTTTTCTAAATGAATCTTTGTCTTTTAGACATTGCTATCTCTGATTTATTTTTTTTCATTTTTTTAGCCATGGAATAATTAAATTTTTATTTTCAGTTTTCAGTTGGCAAGTACATGATGAATTTCTAGAGATCTATCAAATGTCTGGTGCTTAAAATTGTATTGAATGTCTCTAATCTAGACATGTATTTAAGCTGCTTTTATTTTGTGTGTCTCATGATTCAAGAATGTATTTCTTAATCTCACCAGCTGAAAGTCAGTCCAACAGTGTAGCTTCCACTATAGGAGGCGTTATTGGTGCCTTCATTATTCTCATTCTCATTGCTGTGGCTGTCATTTTGTTCCTTAAGTGGAGAAACCGTCCAAAGAAAGCCTCTAAACATTCAGCACCTAAATCATCCTGGGAGCACAACGCACTTGCCAAATTAAGGTATAAATATATTTATAATTTTAAACTTTTCATTTGTATTAACAAACAGGCTTAATGAATAAAACTTTGACTAGTTAAAGGTTTTATTTGTAGCAACAAACACTTAATAAAAAAGAAGTGTCTAAAAAAAATTTTTATAGTAACACACCTAACTTACTGTACCGTTTAAGTTTAATTATTTCTTTCAATGACTAGCCGTCCTGTGAAACTATCTGACTTTCCATTCCATGTGAAGAAAATGGAATCGGACTCAGATTTTAAATACGCTGAAGAATATGAGGTATTTATCTTGTTTCTTCTCAAGTGTGAATTGAAATGTCACTGTCATGTAATTTCTTGACTAGCAAATTTACTGTTTATATGTTTACAATTTTATGTTTCCAATTTCGTTAACTTTCCAACAGTTTCTCTTCTATATTTTATATATCTTTTTAAAAATAAAATAACATGACAATATAATAACCAGTTGAATGTAACAGAATTCAATGTTTTATCTCTTGACCAGGACTTAAAAGAAGTGGGACGTGATCAGCCCTGTACGGCTGCAGAATTTCCACCCAACCGACCAAAAAATCGCTTCACTAACATTTTGCCTTATGACCATTCCCGTGTTAAACTCCTGCCAACAGACGATGAAGAAGGCTCAGATTATATCAATGCTAACTACATGCCAGTGAGTCATCTTAATCAGAATTATAATCCATCTTATTCACTACCAAACTTCCCAGTTCTCTTTAGTTAACTGTTGGTAATCAAACAATAAAACAACAAAAATATTATTTAAATTCTTGTCAAAAAGTGAAACAGTTTTTGTTTGAGTAGCTTGTACCTAAAAAGAGGCTAGAAAAGCTAAAATAGCCTACAGTATTTGTTATAAACAAGACTTGTTATATTGACAAATTAAATATATTTTCAGGGTTACAATTCAAAGAGAGAATATATAGCCACACAGGGGCCATTACCCTCAACACGAGATGATTTCTGGAGAATGATTTGGGAACAGAACTGTCGAAATATAGTCATGTTGACACGCTGCCAGGAGAAAGGAAGAGTAAGTCTCTTTTAAAAATTGTTCTTAAAATAGTTCTTTGCTTTGAATGTATGTAGCCTAGATTTACAACTTTAAGCTTTAAAAAATATCCTGAATTTTTGTCAGCAAGAAGCAATGTCTTAGAGTCAATTATTATTCATTCATAATTTGCTCTTTGTTAACACAAAAGAAAACGTTTTCAGGAGAAAAGTGACCATTACTGGCCGAATGATTCAGAAGCCAAGTTTTATGGTGATCTTCAAGTGGTCATTTTAAATGAAACCCACATGCCAGATTGGACAGTGACTGAGTTAAAAGTGTCTTTGGTAGGTGTTCTAGTTTGGTTTCAAATGCTTAATACCAACTTTTTTAGAACATTGAAACCGCTGTCATCTAGAAGTAATAACACTTGATGCTAACATAGGTCTGTAACATTAAACTTTAAGTCAGGATGTTTTGACACATACTTTATACTAATCTTAACATCTGTAAGACACATCTGAATTTAAAAATGATTGTATTACTTACAATAATTTGGAGATTTTCCTGATTTTATTTTATAATTAAGTAAAATTATTTACTAAAAATTTGTTACTTTTGTGTAATTAGCTATAAAGTAAACAGATTCTTTTAATTTTATTTATTACGTTAAACTATTAAATTAATGCAAGCTTAAGCACTGATAGTACGGCATCTTTTAAACCTTTACAAGTGTTTTTTTTTTTTTATATTATTTATTTAATTCTTTGAAGGGAGAGCAATCAAGAAATATTCGTCACTTTTATTATCGAGTGTGGCCAGATTTTGGTGTACCAAAAAATCCTACGTCCTTGATACGTTTTGTACGGACTGTCAGGGACAAGCTTATACGGGAAGGTGGACCTATAGTAACTCACTGCAGGTATGTTTCGTATAATGGTCATAAACTTTACATTTAAATATTGCTGAGTGGGGCTACTTTGTTACATTTCAGTTGAAGTTTGAGGGGTCGGCGTGGTCGAGTCGGTAAAGCTCATGGTTGCTAAACAGAAAAGTCTCGAGTTCGAACCCTCTGGCAGATGAGGCTCGTTAGCTGGGGACAGCCACTCTTCTAGGAAAGACAACTCCAAAATCAAACAACTGCTGCCTTGTAGTTTGTTCTTGGTTTGACAAAGGCTATGGAAGCAAATCCAAAAAGAAAAGCAGGATGAAATCGGAGTTAATGGCCTCAATGGCACATAACTAGTTGACAAGTATCTTTAATTGTGATGGAGGCGTGGTCGAGTCGGCAAAAGCTCATGGTTGATAAATTCGAAAAAAGTCTCGAGTTAAACCTCTGGTAGATAAGGCTCGATCCCTTCCAACGCTAAAAATTAAGAATGAAGAACAAGAAAGAAGAAGAAGTTGAAGTTTTAAATTTTTAAACAATCAAATTTTTATGTAAAAATGTTTTATAAAAAAAAAATTTTTTTTTTTTTTACGTTAATGAAATGTTTGAATTTAAAAAATTCGAAATATTATTTAAAATATCCTACAACTATCTTGTCGCCAGCGCTGGTGTGGGCAGGTCTGGAACTTTCATTGTACTGGATCACGTCTTACAGCTGATTAGGGAAAAAGATGAAGTGGACATCTTTAGTCTTGTTTATAAACTCCGCAAGGAAAGAGTTCTCATGGTGCAGACTGAGGTAAAACTATTTTCTTTGAATATTTGAAGCAAAGACAAAACTGCTCAAGATTAAATTATTAGATAGCCATGTTGATGCAAAAAAAAAATTGAACTAAGGTAATGGACTTGATCTCAATTTTACTTTTATTAGTCTAAGATTGTTGGTTAATTTACTAGCATTTAACTCAGACTGGCCTTTTGTTAATTTTTTTATCAATAATAGTTTGAAAATTTAAAGTTTCTGAATTAAATAACATAGTTTTTTTAGTCTGAATTTTATTTGTTTGTGTTACTGTTTTTTTACGCTAATTGTTAGTTGTTGAAAAATACTTAGATTATTAAATATACTTTTAATCTTGAGTCTTTAATATTTCAAGAATTTGACCCTTAATGTTGTTTTATTACTGAAAATTACAGCGCTTTAGACCCAGATATGAATTACAAGAATATTTTTCTCTCGTATGTTTTTTTAATTGTTTACATTTCACGCTTAACTACCATTTCAAAGTAATTTAGCAAACTCTTTTAGATAGTTGTCAAAAATGATCCTAACTCTTTCAATCATTGTTATTTCCTAAGTTGTTTTTTATTTTTTTTTTTTTTTTGCTATTTTCTTTAAGAGTGGTTTTTACATATTTCTTTTTACTAAATCAATAACATGTTATTTTCTGCAGCTAAAACATTTTTTTTCTAATTAGGCCTAATCTTTTGTGGTTAAAATATTCCTTGATTACTAATATTTTTCTAATTACACAATGGCTCTTTACTATAATAAGACTCAAGATTAAAACATGCATTAAAAAAATTACGCCAATTGTTTTACTATTATACTGGGATCATTTGTTTTTTTTATTGTAACTTTTGTCTTACTTACTTACAGTGGGGTGTGGGTGAAAGCTAGTCGTATGCTAATTTTATCCAAATATATTTTTTTTTCAATCTTATTTTTTTTTTAATTTTTGAGTTTGTTTCTTTACTTATTTTATTACATTGTGTTTCTGTTTGAGTACCAGCTGTACCAGTATTAAAATGTTGATATATTTGTGTAAAGTAAAATAATTTATATGCTACTTGGCTACGACTCTGCAGGATTTAAAGACTTGTTTAGAAATACAAGACTTTAATAGGACACATACCGCCAGATGTTTTAGTTGACTTGATTTAAAATCCCGTTGCTGAAAAAAAAATCACCAACAGAGATTTCCTCTATAAAAAAAAATAATAAATTTTTTAAAAATGTAGTTAAAAAAAAACCCACTTAATTAACGAACCATACATGTAGAGATATTGCAATAAAGTTACCTTCTGTTTCAGCAACAATACAAGTTTATCCATGAGTGTTTGCTGTGTGTGTTGGAGGGTAGGGAGGAGGACACAACGTACGCTAATGTTGGAGAGGTCAACCCTGGCTTCGAAGGTCAGTTCATTGAAATTATAATTAGTAACATGTGTCACAGTTCCTTCTGTAATGGGGATTTTGTAGCTTATGTTTAAGTGATTCAATCTACAAGGTTATTGAGCACTGTATTTCAATTTGACAAAACTTGTTAGAAAATTTCCTTTTCTAATGAATGCTTTTGTCAAAATATTTTGCTATTTGCCTTGATTGACTATGGGATGGTGTTGTTGGATGGTAGAGCACATTGGGATGGTGTTGTTGGATGGTAGAGCACATTGGGATGGTGTTGTTGGATGGTAGAGCACATTGGGATGGTGTTGTTGGATGGTAGAGCACATTGGGATGGTGTTGTTGGATGGTAGAGCACATTGGGATGGTGTTGTTGGATGGTAGAGCACATTGGGATGGTGTTGTTGGATGGTAGAGCACATTGGGATGGTGTTGTTGGATGGTAGGGCACATAAAAGTCTCAAATTTGGATCCCAGGCTCAAGTCTATAGCATGTTCTTGAGTCCACTCAGATCTGATGGGTGCATAACTCCCATTAGAGAAAGTAAAGGCGGCTGGGCATAGCGCTGACCAAACTATCCCTTCATATGCCGAGGTCACAGACACAGCTCTACATCATCTGCCTCATACACTGACATGTTTGAAAGGGCAATTTTCTTTGTTTTTTTTAGACTTTATACTTTTGTTTTGGTTTCCATTTTAGTTTCGTAAACTACAGCTTCACTTTCTATTCTGTTGTGACTTTTAAGACCTGATGCATTTTATTATCTAGTGTTACTTATTTCACTTGTATACCAAAGTTTATGTAAAGTATATTAAATTAGAGTAATTATACCGATGGTCATGTAAAAAAGCTGTAAACAGACTACTTAGAAAGTATATCAAAACAAATAAACAAGTTATATTGATGTATGCAAAGCATATCAAAAAGGGAAGAGGGTAATCAGACTGTTATTTGTGTAAAGTTCAGCCGTCTTTACATTGCTTCATCATGGATGTTCTCTTGCATCATTTAAAAATTCTCAGTATTAAATTATTTGTTTCACTTTGTATTCAGGTGTCTAGATGGTAACCATTGTGTTTTACTTCCTACTTTTTATGGGTTTTTTTAAAATATACCTTTTTTCATTGTATTCTTGCTTTTATTATTGAAGATACTCACTTAGAGTTTGGGGCATAGAAAATTTAGAATGACATTCTAAAAGTTGAAGTGTGGTTTTCTACTCTGTGAATATTGGCCTGCATGATGGATACATTGTGGTGGAGTTGTATAGTCATTTTATTTTTTCTCTATTTGTTCCTATTTCCTCAGAGGTTTATTTTTTATTCAAACCTAGTGTGGCTTTGTTATCTATCACCACTATAGGGTCATCCAAAGTGACATCACTGCTATGGGAATGACAGGAAGGAAAGGGGGGGGGAAGATTTAGTTTGAAATATTATGCTGCATATATTTTGGTATTTCTTAAGAATTAATTTATGTATATATATATATATATATATATATATATATATATATATATATATATATATATATATATATATATATATATATATATTTACTTTAAAATTTTCATAACAGTTTTTTTTTTTTTAAGGTGGGGGGGGAGGATATTGTGAGTTAGGTAGGTTAGGGGAGAAGTTAATTTGTCAACACTTTGTTATGTCAGCTTTGGTTGTCCCTGTATGAATTTTTAAAAAATGTAAACAATGAAATAAAATAAAATCATAACTTAACATTTAGATGAAGATACAGATTTCGGAATAAACATGGATGGTGGTAATGACATTTGAACAATTAAATTTAACCCTCTAACATTCACTACTCACTTATAATCTTATAAGACTGTTCACAATTTTTTGTATGTGAAAAATTAATTATTGCATGTATTTGTTCAAAGTAAAATATTTTAACTCACAATTATTCTTATATGTTATGCAGAGAATGTGTTTTGTGGCATAATTATTAAACACTTGATTTTATTTACATTAAAGTTTCAGAATTTTTTTGGGTAAACCTCAGCAAACAAACCTTGACTACAAAACATTGATAGGAACTTTATAATGTTAAAAGTGTTCTGTTAACAAACTCTAACATAGTATTCATATAACACTGACAATCTTTACTTTGATTCTATAAAACATTGACATAACTACATGATATTAAAAGTGTTCTGTTAACAAACTCTAACATGTTCTTCATATAACACTGACGACCTTTACTTGATTCTATAAAACATTGAAGAGAACTATGTTATATTATATGTGTTCTGTTAACAAACTCTAACCAGATATTCACATAACACTGAGGCTCTCTCATAGCTTACCAACTAACTCTGATGTGGGCTCTTATATCACTAATAAAACACCTGTATTGTTTTCATTATTTTTAAAGGTTTTAGTTTTCTCTTTACACAAGGTGCGCATGATTCTAACCTAAACATTAAGTAGGATAGTAAAACATGCCTAAAACAAACAAAAAACATTTAGTCTATTTCTAAATTATCTTGACATGTTTATTTACACACAGTCATCTGTTTAATATGTACATATACACGTCATATTTACACATATAAAAACTATACACAAATACTTGCACATATGCATGTATATACTTGTACATATTTATATGAAATATAAAACCAGTTTTTTGTGTAACAGTATCAACTTACTTTTGTTCATTATTTATTGATGTCACTTTGTAGGCTTTTAAGACTTGAGTTTTTTTTAGGGATGGGGGAGGGGGGGGGGGGGATGAGCTGGAATATACCTTTGGTTGTTCATAATTAAACCTATTTACAATCCAAGTGGACATCCAAGGAAATATATTACAGATTTTATTCTATTCTGTACTTTTCCTTGGGGAAAATCTTATGAATTGCAAAATTTGCATTAAACAATGTATTCTAATCTTTACTTGGCGTGGTATGGCAGTATTTTTTTTTTGGGGGGGGGGGGGGGATGTCCTGCTCCTGCACATAAATATTTACATAATAAATATACCCCCTGTTTTCACACATAATATGAATGGCATGTACATATTAACTTTCTGTATCTCCTATTAAACCTACATCAGTAGTAGCATTGGTGAATAAATTAGTTTTTAATGCAGCAAATTAAGAAAAAATTTCTCATAAAAAAATGAAAAATGTTTTTTTTTATATATTAAAACATTTACGTTCCCAAGTTTTAGCTGAGGGTGAACCATATGAAAACAATACATATTTAGCTTGTAGGTACAATGGTTTTACACAGTCGATGTACTGATGTATTAATTTTTTCCCCCTATTTCAGATGACGAAGGTATCAATGTTGAGCTCAACTAAAGGTGAGCTACTTGTTTTCACCTGGTGGTCTACCTGTTATTCCCTGCGCTACAGCTGTTGTGTGGCGGAAACCACACCATGATAGCCCTTACCTTATGTGATAAAAACAGCCCACTGGCTGATGGGAACACTATGCATTTAAATTTGGTTACTAAGTATCTGTTGTATGTACATAAAGATTTTTTACTCTTATTATTGTTATGATGTTAAGTTTTGTTTTTGTTGATATGTCCTTGAATTCATGTGCCTTTAATGTCTAGTAAAAATGTGATCCTTAATTGTGACTCTAGCATGAGATATGTTTATATCTATGATCAACTTTTGCAGTTTGTACTTAAACAGCTTTTACATTATTTTACATACTAAATGTATCACATTTTTGTTATACTTACAATTTTGTTGTATATTTTACAGTTTAAAACATTCAGACCCTTTACAGCTAAAAGATTTTTAGCTTGTATTATTTTATTAACTCATATTTTTTAAAATTTGGGAAACTTTATCCAAGTCTAGTCCAATAATATTTTTTTTAGCCAAACCAATTTAAAATGGATATTATTTTGAACATTCCATAGATAAGTTGTTATCTAGTCAGTCTGGTTGAAATTAAAACTTATATTTTAAATAAACCATGTAATCTCAAGACATATTACCTATTGATCATAGCTTCTCTACCAGCTTGTGTCTGTGACTTGATCTGCAATTATTAAATCAAAATGTTTTTGTACATAAGCTATTTATTCAATGTTCATTATGTTAATTAACTTTGAATAATTTTAAATTTCGCAATGTTTTTTTTTTAAGTAATACCTAATGACTGTTGATTATCTCCCATATCAACATTTATAGAATCTCTATTTGCGTTAGTGGGGGTCTAAAAATGATATCAGGCTCCGTGCAAGGGAGTGTGTCCAAAAATAGATATTGTCGTGTGTGTGGGGGGGGGGGGGGGGGAAGCGCAGTTAAGGTAATCATCTCAATTGTTGGGACTCTCATTAAATAAAGTAAAGAAGGCTGGTCACACTATCTTTTCATATGCTGACGTCACTGAAACAGGTGAACCCTACTTCACCTACCCCAATACACCATTAGGTTTTGAAAAAGATACTTCCTGTATATTGAATTAAGTTAACAAAAATAATTGTATGTAACAATTTGTTTTCTGCTGTAACATTTACCATGTACTTCTTCTGTACAACACATTTATCAAGTAGGCCTACATACAGCAGTCTGTTTATTAATATAACATCTATCATGTAGGCCTTTACACATCTATCATGTAGGTCTATGCACATCTATCATGTAGGCTTACATACAGCAGTCTGTTTATTAATATAACATCTATCATGTAGGTCTATACACATCCATCATGTAGGTCTACATACAGTAGTGTGTTTATTAATACAACATCTATCATGTAGGTCTATACACATCTATCATGTAGGCTTACATACAGTAGTGTGTTTATTAATACAACATCTATCATGTAGGTCTATACACATCTATCATGTAGGCTTACATACAGTAGTGTGTTTATTAATACAACATCTATCATGTAGGTCTATACACATCTATCATGTAGGCCTTTACACATCTATCATGTAGGCTTACATACAGCAGTCTGTTTATTAATATAACCTCTATCATGTAAGCTTACATACAGTAGTCTGTTTATTAATATAACATCTTACATGTAGGCCTATATACATCTATCATGTAGGTCTATGCACATCTATCATGTAGGCTTACATACAGCAGTCTGTTTATTAATATAACATCTATCATGTAGGTCTATACACATCTATCATGTAGGCCTTTACACATCTATCATGTAGGCTTACATACAGCAGTCTGTTTATTAATATAACCTCTATCATGTAAGCTTACATACAGTAGTCTGTTTATTAATATAACATCTTACATGTAGGCCTATATACATCCATCATGTAGGCCTACATACAGCAGTCTGTTTATTAATATAACAACTATCATGTAGGCCTACATACAGTAGTCTGTTTATTAATATAACAGCTATCATGTAGGTCTTTACAAATCTATCATGTAGGCTTACACACACCAGTCTGTTTATTAATATAACATCCGTCATGTAGGCCTACATACAGCAGATCAATATGTGATGTGTTATTAGCTTTGCCTACATGAGTTGCTCTCATTTAAATAGAGTGACTATTCAGATGTTCAGTTCAACCATATAGACAGATATATTAGTGTAGAATACATCAACTATTTTTTTTTACCTATTTTGTAACATGCAAGTTAAAATTCAGAAATGAAATAAATGATACACTATATTGTGTATATATGTAATAAATATATCATTGTAAGCAGAATATGTTGAAAATTAATAGCCAAAACATGTTTAAAATTAATGTACTGTTTTCACTTAGAAAAGGAAATGATATATAACTAAAACTGTTACTTATCTAACAAAAAATGCATTACATATTTTAGCTGTGATCATAGAACAAATCACCCAGCATTGGTGCTGTGTTACATCTACTCTCTATATTAACTCAGTCTGATCAATTCCTACTCTCTGTGTTGGTGCTCTGTAGATCTATTTAAATCATCTATCTATTTAAATCATCTACTCTCAATATTACCTCAGTCTGATCAATTCCTACTCTCTGTGTTGGTACTCTGTTGATCTATTTAAATCATCTACTCTCTATTTTAACTCAGTCTGATCAATTTCTACTCTCTGTGTTGGTGCTCTGTAGATCTATTTAAATCATCTACTCTCTATATTAACTCAGTCTGATCAATTCCTACTCTCTGTGTTGGTACTCTGTTGATCTATTTAAATCATCTACTCTCTATATTAACACAGTCTGATCAATTCCTACTCTCTGTCTTGGTGCTCTGTAGATCTATTTAAATCATCTACTCTCTATATTAACACAGTCTGATCAATTCCTACTCTCTGTGTTGGTACTCTGTTGATCTATTTAAATCATCTACTCTCTATATTAACACAGTCTGATCAATTCCTACTCTCTGTGTTGGTACTCTGTTGATCTACTCTCTCTATTAACTCAGTCTGATCGATTCCTACTCTCTGTGTTGGTGCTCTGTTGATCTATTTAAATCATCTATCTATTTAAATCATCTACTCTCTCTATTAACTCAGCCTGATAAATCCCTGCTCATAGTCAATTATTTATTTCTCCTGTTGAATGCTCTTGTTGTACAATTTTTTACTCACATCAAGATAAACTGAAGATTATCTGTACATTTAAAACAAAACATATTTCTTCCTCGTTGTTTAAAAAAACTTCTTTCACATCATATAAATTTTGTCCTGAGCTTTCTAATTTTATTTGAATTTGTTGTCTAAGTATTAAACACTCAAATATTTTTCTATTCTTATATTAGTACATTTACTTTACTAAAATCAAAAGTGTTATTAATGTTTATTGTTAGTATATGATGCAGCCCACAAAATAATGCAAAGAACAAAAAATTGTCATGGAGTGCATTGTAAATGTGGAAAATGTTAGTTGAATATCTTAATCACAATTTTATTGCATTTAATTTTTTAATGGAATTTAAAAATCTTTTCCTGTTCATTTAATATCTCTCATCTTGAATTAAGTCCAGAATCAAAACTTGACCATAAAAAAATGATGCTCATCTGGTGCTTCTTTGGATGTGCCAGATAAATTTCTAGTCAGAGCCTGTTGTCTTGACGTCCATTCCGCTTATGTCACTCCACAGAATGTTTTTTTTTAAACTAACATCTCTACTTAAAATGTGTATCTTAATCACTCACTCACATTATATTATTACTTAAATCTTTGTTTTGCATTCAATAATAATTTATGATTAAGGCAATTTTAAAGCCCTGTAAAATTAAAAGACATATTACAACCCCCAGAAAAAATACAGCAAGATGAGATTTTTTCTTTTATTGACGTCTTTTTACCTCAGTCTGATGAAGACCTGGCATCTGAACATCATTAATTATAATTATGTTTGGCATTCATATTACAAAAGCCTTCACACTCCCCATTGACCTCTAGTCCGTTGTGATGTAGAGAAATTCTTCATTGTGTCTTATTTTAAGGGATAATTTATTTTTTTGTTTATATTCTAACAACATCTAATAGATGATCTATGCATATTTTAACTATGCATCTTTAACCTCATCTGGTACTAAAAGAATGGTATGATCAATTTATCAAAATTAATTAATTGCAACATGTCTGTATATTAAAGTATAACTTATCTAGGTCACATTATGACAGTTAAGACCTAAATTTTGATGAGTGTATTGTTTAGTCAGCTCTCTCTACTTAACTCAGTTATGACGCTTATGTATCCAATACATTTTGCTGTGTGTAGATTTGGTAGGCAATACAAAAAAAAACTGCTTTTTTTTCTCTTTTAACTTATAAAACAATTGAGTTGGAACATATTTCTTTTAAAGATGTATATTTTGTTTGATTGAAAATTTAGATTGTTCCTTACAGCCGCACAAAATAAAAACTGATTATTTATAACATTTTTGTCTCCATAAATTATTTCTTTACCTACTTCCGACTATGATGTTTTATAAAAAAAAACTAAGATCAGCCTGCTTTTCTTTTTGGATTTGCTTCAATAGCCTTTGTCCAACCAAGAACGAACTATAAGGCAGCAATTGTTTGATTTTGGAGTTGTCTCTCCTAGAGGAGTTGTCCCCAGCTAACGAGCCTCATCTGCCCGAGGGTTTAGCAACCATGAGCTTTACCGACTCGACCACGCCGACACACTCATGCAATGAATCAACAAGTTAACCCTTTATTGCATGAATTATTGGTTTACTTGGTAAAAATTTTTTGACTTCATATTTCTACAGCAAATGGACTAACTTGAGATGTAGGGAATTTTTTTTTTGAATAGATGATAAATATCACAACAATTTTGGTCGTTGCAATTCTGCAACTATGCGCAACGGTCAAACTTTTTATCCATAATAAGCAAAAAAAATATTTATATAGAATTGTTGATAGAAATGTAAATAACTTCTACAAATCATTTGAGAGTAACAATAGTAACATGTAAGCTTATTTATGATGAAAACAAAAGTAAAAATATGTACACTGAAAGAGAAAAAAACAACTGAAAAATTACATGAAGGTTTATTTAGTAAAAAATTTATTAGCATTTTTTTTTGTTTGCTATACAACAAATAAAAACTTCTGTGCATTCTTGGTGCAGGACAACCTGCAACTAAATGATGAACTAAATGATATTGTCTATTGTAAATCTTGAGCCCAACATATTGGGGAACACTCTGTAATAATGTCTGCTCAATATTAGCAACAGCACTTTGTCATCTTGTCCCTTTGTAGCTTTACCTGTATGCACTTCAAAATCTTGGATTATACAAGTTGTTGGACACAACAAAGACTTTGTAGCCCATCTATATGGCTTTCTATGGTTGTAGGTTGGACTGCTTTTGCCTTCGATATGTGAATGGGTCGATTTGCTCATGAATACTTAGAATCTCAGATGGCATGGGGTTTGATAAGCACAGAATTCCGACATTGGTCAACTTCTGCCCTTTGAACATTGTTTGACAGGTGTAGCTTATTCTTAATCCACTCGAATCTATTGATGGTTATGTCTGTGACAGTAACACATTAGGTGACAAGGCACCAAGATCTTTGGTATTTAGAATTTTTTTTACAATGTTTATGTAAAACACAATTTCCAGGAGATGTTTTTGTTCATCTTTATCCAGTACTAGTGGATTGTTTATGTCCTGCTGAGGACATAGTTTCACAGGTGTATATTATTCTTTATCCGCTTGAATCTGTTGATGGTCATGATGTATTGACCGTAACACATTTGGTCGCAAGTCTCCAATACACTCGGCATATATGAGTTTTTACAA